ATATATATTAGGTTTGGCAATAGTTTCTTTCTATTTATATGTAGAGACGGGGTCTCGCTCTTGCCTCAGGCTGGTTTTGAACTCCCGACCTCAGCGATCCGCCCGCCTCGGCCTCCCGAGAGCTAGGATTACAGCGCGTGAGCCACTCGGCCCGGCTTTTTTTTTTTTTTGAAACAGAGTTCGCTTTGTTGGCCAGGCTAGAGTGAGTGCCATGGAGCGCTAGCTCACAGCAACCTCAAACTCCTGGCTCAAGCAATCCTTGCCCTCAGCCTTTCTGAGTAGCTGGGACTACAGGCATGGCCACCATGCCTGCTGGCTAATTTTTTCTATATATATTAGTTGGCCAATTAATTTCTTTCTATTTATAGTAGAGACGGGGTCTTGCTCTTGCTCAGGCTGGTTTCGAACTCCTGACCTCGAGCAATCTGTCTGCCTGGGCCTCCCAGAGTGCTGGGATTACAGGTGTGAGCCACCGCGCCTGGCCACCATGACAGTTGAGAGACAACTAAGTAAACTATGAAAATGAGAGGGAACCCAATTCTAAGAATTACTACCTAAATTCTTAGTAAAAGCTAACCCCTTGGTCTTGAATATTCCTCCCTTCAATTAGTAAAACTATAAAGGATCTAAAACCACCTCCTCCCAGCGCAGCTGCTCTTTTTCAAGCTTGCCCTCTCCCAGAGAGGGTACTTTTGCTTTCAAAAGAAAACCCTTTCTTGCTTGGCTTACATGGTGCATCCTGAAATTCTTTTCCCCATGATAACCAAGAACTTGGAAAACCATCTCCTCAGAGGCTGGTAACAGATTTGTAAATGTTCTTGGGCTTATAAGTTCTGAATAAAAATAAGTTAAGTGAGGAACAAGGGAGGCTCAGACCAGGAGAGTCATGGTGACATCTCTTGGTATTACAGCAGGACCAGGCCACAAATCCAAGAGAATACAGGAAATAAAAACCTCAAACTACTGGAGTACATCGGGAGAGAATGGTATGGTGGACAACTGCATCACTAAAAGTGTGAGACAGCATGGTACAAATACAAGTTGCCCACCCTTTGACCCACAAAATTAAAAGCTGGCAAGCTGAAGAGCTCACATTTGTGATATTTCAGGTGCTTGCCACACATTCCTCCATTTATTATAGTTCTAACAAAAATAATCCACTGTGGTTGGCACCATTATTTTACCTGTTTTGCAGATAAGGAAACCGAAATTCAGAAAGGTTAGTACATTTTCTCAAGGATACCCAGCTGGCAAGTGGTAGAATCATGACTTTAACCCAGGTTTTCTGCTTTCAGATCCTGGATGCTTAATCAATTTCCTCTACAGCAAGATCCTATAAAATGTGAACCACATTGGTCAGAATTAGCAGAGTGCTTGTTAAAATGGAGACCCCTGGACCTCACCCCAGAACCATGGAATCAGAAAGTTTGCAGTACAGCCCAGAATCTTCATTGATAAATGAGTTCCTGATACTTATGCGCAGTAAGCATTATTCACGGATGATCTATTTTCAAAATCCTTAACTTAGTTACATCTACAAAGAACCTGTTTTTTTTTTGAGACAGAGTCTCACTCTGTTGCCTGGGCTAGAGTGCTGTGGCGTCAGCCTAGCTCACAGCAACCTGTAACTCCTGGGCTCAAGCAATCCTCCTGCCTCAGCCTCCCAAGTAGCTGGGACTACAGGCATGCGCCATGATGCCTGGCTAATTTTTTTCTCTATATATTTTTAGTTGGCCAATTAATTTCTTTCTATTCATAGTAGAGACTGGGTCTTGCTCTTGCTCAGGCTGGTTTGGAACTCCTGACCTTGAGCCATCCCCCACCCCCCAGGCCTCCCCGAGTGAGTCTAGGATTACAGGCATGAGCCATGGTGCCCTGCAAGAACCTTTCTTTAAATACGTCTTATTCACAGGTTCCAGGTGGACATATGGGGGGGGGGTAGGGCGGCCACCATTCAACCCATTATTGATAGCAGGCCTTACGAGTTTGCTCCTGATAACCACCACTGGGGCAGCTGCTATGATTATCCATACTTTAGGATGACGAAAGTGGCCACAGTCACACATGAGTAAGAGGCAGAGAAAGAATTCCAGTCATGCTCTCGTAGGCTCAGAGTTCAGTCTCTCAACCACTAAGTATACCAGGTGAAGCAAACATCCATTTGATCAAACAGGTCGCAGGGGAAGCAAGAGGAAATTCACATGGTGGAGTCCTGGAAAAAGACTAGGTAGAAATACAAAAGCTATTTATGGAGGTTTCACTGAATGAAGAATTATTAGAAGTTTGGACTTCTTTATAATTGCCTGCATTTTCTTTAAAAAATTCTATACCAAGGCTATATTAAATTGTATAATCTGAAAAATATTCTTTCTTAAAAATGAAACTGATGGAGGCAGACTCTTTTTTCCAGAAAGTGTCTGGGCTCCAATTTTTTCTAACAGAAGTAGATACAGCAGGAAAGCCATTAAAAGAAACCCCTGAAACCAAGGAAAAGAGCCCATTTCTCTAGTCACACTCATACAGCATTAGAGAAAACAGGCAGTTATATATGTCACAAGCCCAACCACGAGAAAACCTAGGTAGTGACTTCTATTATTGAACAGTTAGAATTTAAGCTAAGAAAGGATTAAAAGGCAAAGGTACTATGAGCACAATACACAGTGACTGTATAACATTCACGAACCTTGGCCCTGGCTGACTCCATTGGGTGAGGGAGCTTTGGGAGGCTTTGTCAGCAAGCAGGAGATATGGTGCCCATACAGAAAGAGCCAGGGTGACTGGGCGGGAATAACTGGGTAAAGAACTCAGACCCAATTTTTGCCCCTGCTGTTGAAAGGGCTCTCACCGTTTATCTGTGGAAATGTTAATGGATGCAAAGTTGTGTGAGCCTGATATCTCCTGCAATGTAATTGAATCTGCTCAAACCTGAGGATTAGTCGAAGAAATGAGAATACGTCCATATGATGAATTATCGTACAACCACAAACATCACATGGGAAATGGTAAGTGGAAAAATGAGGTCGCAAAATATGATCTTGCAAAATATTATATACACCTTGAGGCCAACTTTGCCTTCAATTATTTTTATGTTTTTAATAGTGCTTTTACAGATTAATTTTCTCATATATTTTGAAATCTTTTGCAGTATGTAAATATGGGATTATGATTCCAGGAATATGATTGTTAAGCTTATTGTTAAGCCTATGATTGTTAAGCTCAATTAAGGATGTTAAGTTGAAAGTTAAGACGATGGTCATTCCTTCATTTATTCAATAAAGTGGGTTTGTGTGTAATTTGTGTGAGGACCAAGCTTTGTGTGGGGCTTCCAAGGTGCACAGGGTACATCTGAGTCCTGACACCTCACATCTGTAGGGTCTTGGGGATGAAGACAATGTCAGGACAGCAGCAAGCAATGAACAGACAAGGCAGCCATACATGTCCAGTACTCAAAGAGCAGCTTTCTGGGAAAATCCAGGAGAGGGGATAACAGTCTCAGCCTAGAGGAATCAGCAAAGGCTTCACAGAGCAGGAGACGGGTCTGGAAGGTTCAGGGAGAACTTGTTACACAGGGAGAAGAGAGAGAGGCATCCTGGACAGACAGAATCACAAATGTGGACATGTTGCTTCAAAATCAAAGGCACAGGCCGGGCGCGGTAGCTCACGCCTGTAATCCTAGCTCTCTGGGAGGCCGAGGCGGGCGGATTGCTCGAGGTCGGGAGTTCAAAACCAGCCTGAGCAAGAGCGAGACCCCGTCTCTACTATAAATAGAAAGAAACTAATTGGCCAACTAATATATATAGAAAAAAAATTAGCCGGGCATGGTGGCGCATGCCTGATATGTTAGTGGTATTTAGAAACACATCCTGTTTCTAAAAATTAAATTTCAAAGTCTACAATTGTGTTTCCTGCTTCCTTTTAGAGAGGAAGAGCGAATTCCCTAAGGCCACACAGCACAAGGGAAAAAAAAAAAAAAAAAAAAAAAAAAAAAAAAAATCAAAGGCACAGGTTATGTTCAATATGCCCCTGTAAGGTCAGGCAGTCAAGGAGGATAATGAGACACTGAAACATATGAATTGTTCTTAAGATCCTCTGTGAAGCCCAGGAGTGTGGATTATGGCCAAAGGACGAACCTTCTCAGCACAGCACTTTGGCCCACAGAGAACTTCCACCGAGTCTCCTTTCCCCCCCTCTACTGGTTTGCCCAGAAGGGCTCTAGGCTCTCTCTTTGTGATGAGCAATCACAAAACAGCCATTGCAGTGTGACTGTCAGCTCAGAAGATGCACAGAACCCCCTGGGGAACTTAATGGAGAAAAATACCATTGCCCCAGTCCCAACCACAGATTCTGATTTAAATGATTGCGGTTTGGTGCAGCATCCATATACAGGTTCTTGGAAGCTGTGACCATAAGCAAAATGACATACGACGGAACCAATTTTACCATACGCTAGCTGATATAGACGAGACTTGTTTCCACAGCACATTTTTGGTCACAAAAACACTACCAAATGTTTAATAAAGACCAAAACACTTGCAATATTAAACATTCAAATACATGTGAGCTATACATACATATATGAAAGATTAATGAAAACAAGTAAGATAACTATTTACCCTATTCCAGGTCAGGGCCATGGGTGGCCGGAGACTATCCAGCAGCCCAAGGTGCAAGGCAGGAATCACCCTAGACAGGATGTCCTTCCATCACAGGCCATACTCACTCCTACTGGGACAATGTAGACACACCAGCTCACCTCACATGTACATCTTTGGGATGTGGCAGGAAACCAGACTACCCAGAGAGGCCCACACAAAAGTGGGGAGAACATGCAAACTCTGCACACAGTGCTCTGAGGCAGGAATCGATCTTTTTTCTCATTACTGTCGTAATGAAACAACATTATATGAAACGACCTTGCAGGGGACCTGCTGTATGTGTTTTCAAAGCACCCCAGGTTATGTTAACATGCAGACAGGACTGAAAACCACTGCTTTAGATTCTAAGAACTTTTACAAAAAGGAGTGCAAAAAGATTTGTAACATGTAGCCTATCAAAGTGACCACATAGAAAGGAAATATTTGTCTTGTATATACAGAATTTAAAATATAATAATTGAAAACAAATACCATTACCTGCTTAAAAGAGCAGGGTTGTTCTTAAGTCAGACTTCACTGACAGATATCCACTGAGGATATTTATTCTAAGTTCCTCAAAAACACTTTAACAAGTACATTGCTGTATTTCAATGTTTTGGCAAAGATTCTGTGCCTGGGAATGATGGGATGGGTCCACAGCACTTTCACCAGTAGGGACATGTCTTCCTGCCAAACGCCTTTCCCAGAGCTCTTTTCAAATCCCTGTTCCTCAGACTGTAGATGAAAGGGTTTAGCATGGGGGTCACCACTGTATACAGCACTGTAGCTGCGGTGTCTTTCTCAGCTGAGTGAGAGGACGAGGGCTTGAAATACACAGCAATGATGGTGCCATAGAAGAGGAACACGACAGCCAGGTGGGAGCCACAGGTGGAGAAGGCTTTCCATCTTCCCTTTGTGGTAGGAGCTCTCAGGACAGCACAGGTGATGTGCACATAGGAAGCCAGGATGCAAACAAGTGGGGTGACAATGAAAAGGGGGCCCTCAGTTAGAATCATCATCTCATTGAGGTGGGTTTCTGAGCAGGAGAGTTTCAGGAGAGGAGTCACATCACAGAAGAAGTGGGGGATGGTGTTGTCTGCACAGAATGAGAGTCCAGCCATTAGCAGGGTGTGCAACAGAGCATGCAGGCTGGCCACGCCCCAGGACCCAGCCACCAGCAGGACACAGAGCTGATGGGTCATCTTTGTCATGTAATGTAAGGGGTGGCACACGGCCACAAAGCGGTCATAGGCCATCACAGCCAGGAGGAAATTATCCAAGCCTGAAAATGCACTGATAAAATACATCTGTGTGAGGCAGCCAGAGAAGGAGATGGTCTGGATCCCAAGCACGTGATTGGCCAGCATCTTGGGGGTGGTGGTGGAGGAGAAGCAGACGTCCACGAAGGACAGGTTGCCGAGGAAGAAGTACATGGGGGTGTGCAGGCGGGAGTCGGTGCTGACCGCCAGGATGAGCAGCAGGTTTCCCAGGACCGTGGCCAGGGGTTGGTGTAATTCTGGCTTCAGTTTCTTAGGCCAACTTTGACAATGATACCAATCTTCAGGGTGACCCACTAGAACAAACCTTCTGTTACAGGAAAACACAGGATGCTTATTTTATTGTCAGCCAAGCTGGCGGTGGTGTTCCCAGTTGGAAACGTGTGATCCCATCTGAATAGATTCATATTAATCAACTTTAGGTTTCATGGATCTGTCTCAATTCCCAGAGAAACACTTACTAGGTTGTATGACTTGGAAATCTTCCAAGCTTTCCTGAATCACAAAATTTCGTCATCTATAAAGTGGAGAAATAATTTTTACCTTTGTCAAGTTGTGGTAATCGGTGACTTAAATGAGGGTATTTATGCCCAAACATCTCATGTCTCCTAACCTCATCAAATTGCCAGAGCTAGGAACTAGTCCACTAGTTGAGGCTGGAGACTTGGTTTAATTATGTTGACATTCCTAACTCTTGCTCAATCATACTATATTCTGGATAAAATGTCATTGGAAATAGTCCCCCCCATATTCTTATCTTCATATGGATTTTTTTAAAGTTATTTTAAAAGGGCCAGATGACAAGTCTTTTCTTCCATATTTGATATTTGGGTGAATGAGATAAAATATAATAGCAACCATTGCTGAGTCCCAATTTATAAATTGTACGAATGTGGACTCCAGTGAGGAAACAGAATTCCTGAGTGCCAATATGTATCACTCTTCTAGAATTTTCCTAAATAACTTGTCCTGAAGGCAAGATCGGGCTTTAAGGTGCCTATAAAGGCATTTGATTCATGGCCACTGGGCAGGTTTGCTTTCCTAGGCTGCTAAAATTAAAGGAGTTTAACTCTCAAAAATCATGACCCTGGGTTAGAGGTGGCAGTTCAATTCCTGAAAAGTTTGCCCTCTTGAAACCAGAGTGTCCATCTAACCCAATCTCCATTTTCAGTTATTATGAACTGTCCTTCTTCTTCTGACTAATGTGTCTTAATAGATAGCAATACTTGCTTCCAGTAAACTCAAGACCAAAAACTTCAGGGTTATAATGAGCCTTTTAGGTTGCCATTGGACCACATGCTATTAGATGTCAAGTTCTGGCCCATTGTTCTCCAAGATAGTCAAAAAACAAAACAACCAACCAACCAACAACAACAAAAAACCCCAATTACACAATGCAATTATGAAAGATCTTAGGGATGAGGAGGAAAATAGTTCTGAATTAAATAAAGGCATTGTTATACAATTAAAAACCAACTCATGTCCACCCAAGGTGAAATGGAATTTAATTGGTTGATGTAATTGCAAAGTTCCAAAAGTGTCTTCTTGCAAGCCCATGTGTTCAGGAAGGGCTAAATTCAGGGAGCCCAAATAACAGCATTCAGAAGCTGTATTCTCCACTTACTGCTCAACTTCATTCGTAGACCGTCCCTCTTCATGTGACAGCAAGATGTCCATCAGGAACTCCAAGCAGTAACATCCTTTCAGACTAGTGATCACAGGGCATGTAGACTTTGACTTACTAAGTTTATACATTGTCCTGCCAAGTAAAGGTTGGTGAATCATGCCTTGTGGGTTGTATGTCAAACCTGAACAACCATTGATATCAGGAAGACTTGGGGATATTTGGTCATTCTCAGGCATGGAACCTGAATCTACTCCATGTGAGAATCCGGTTATCAGAATTTATCACCAGACTTAAATGGAGGAAGAGAGGCGACTCCCCTTCTCTTCCACATATGTGGCTATAATTTAAAAAAACAGGGAAAAATAAATATTGGCGGTGGATGTGGAGAAATCAGAATCTGTATGTTGCAGGGGGTGGGGGAATGTAAAATGGATACAGCAAAAGTTTGGTGGCTTCTCAAAAAGCTAAATGTAGAATTACCATACAACCAGCAATTCCCATTCCTAGGTTTCCACTCAAAATGGAAACAGAATTCAATGGGATATTTGTAGAACAACCTTCATCACAACATTATTTCAATAGACAAAATGTAGTTAAACAAAACCCAATTATCCATTACAGATGAATAGACAAACAAAAATGTGGTAGATTTTTTACCACCATTACCAGGGAATATTATTCATTCATGAAGAAAGGAATAAAATTACTGATGCATGCCACAAAGGTGGGTGAGCCCATGTAAATTATGCCTAGTGAAAGAAGCCAGATAGGAAAGGAAAATAATAGTATTTACTCCCACTTACTATGAAATATCTAGATGTAGGCAAATCCCTAGGCATAGAAAGCAGATTAGAGGTACTAGGGGCTGGGAAGGGAAACAGGAGTTATATGCTTAATGGTGACAGAGTTAAGTTTGAGTCATGAAAATGTTTTGGGAAACAAATAGTGGTGATGGTTACCAAACTGTGTGAATGTAATTAATGCCACCGAGTTTATACTTTGAGAACATTTGAAGTGGATTTTTTGTGTTGTATAGGTATTTATGGTTATCGAAAAAAAAAAGAAGGTTGGCTATTCTAGATTTCAGAAAAACTGTGACTGAGTGAAACCCTCTCTCAAAAACATCAAAACATAAATAAATAAAGAGACCAAAAGTAGTGTTGAAACTTGGACTAGTTTGGTTCAAGAACATAGCTATAAGGACACTTGGGGAGATTTTAATATGGAGCATAAATTATATTGGACATTAGGGAATTGATTAATTTTGAGGTGTGTTAGGGGCACTGTGTTTATGTTTGATGATGATCTTTGAGTCCAAGGAAAACCTAAGATACAGGGGTGGTGTGTTCATGAACCTATGGACTTTTCAAAATTGCTCAAAACTACAAAATTTATATAAGCAAAAATGGGCAAAGAATTACATTTTGAATCTGGTCATACATATGTGGTTGTTCATTGGATTAGCTTTTCAACAGTTCTGCATGATAAATTCATTTTATTATTTTTTTGGGACACAGCCTCACTCTGTTCCCCAGGGCTTAGATGCCCTTGGCGTCAGGAAGCTCACAGCAACCTCAAACTCCTGGGCTCAGGCGATCCTCTGCCTCAGCCTGCCAAGTAGCTGGAACTACAGGCATGGTGCCATCATGCCTTGAAAAATATTTTCTACATATTTTTTAGTAGGTCAATTAATTCTTTTCTACTTTTTTAGGTTAGGACAGGGGTCTCGCTCTTGCTCAGGCTGTTTCGAATACCTGGACCCTTGATGATCCCAGGCCTTGGCCTCCCAGGGTGCTAGGATTACCAGGCATGAGCCACCACGGGGCCATGCATTAAATTTCTTTTAAAAGTGAAAATTTGATTGGAGAAATAAGTTGCCAAGATCTCCTTCCATTATTTAGATGGTAAAGTGCCCCCCAAAATTGGAGGGGTATATGAAAATTTCCTGGATGTCCAAAGGAGACCATTTAAAAAATGTTAAAGATATTAAGGACTATTTCAAAAAACTGGACCTTAGGAAAGAGAAAATAACAGATGGATTTGTTAGAGTAGGAGATAAGAGGGCTGAGACCAGAAGGAGGGACTTGCAGATGGGTCCAGTGTTCAACAACCCCTAACGAAGGTGATTAGAGGGAGGTCGTACTACTGGCAAGAATCAACTTCAACCTGCTTGTCGGTATTCTGTCACCTTACATGGAAAACTTTGGCTAATTTATCATCATTTACCATTGTGGTTTTTAAATTTCGCCACCTTGAAATCACCTATGAAGTTCTTGAGACCATGTAAAGTATAAAAATGATAGGTTAACCCAATTCTAAGGAATTTACTCCTAAATTTCTTTAGTAAAAGCTAACCTCTTGGTCTTGAATATCTTCCCTTCAATTACTAAAACTATAAAAGATCTGAAACCCTCCTCCCAGCTGCAGCTGCTCTTTTTCAAGCTTGCCCACTGTCTCTTGTGAGAGGGTACTTTTGCTTTCAATAAAAAGCCATTTCTTGCCAGTTTACCAGGGTTCGTCATGAAATTTTTCCACAATCACTAAGAACTTGGAAAAACATCCCCTCAGATTGCTGGAACAGATTGGTAAATGTTCTTGGGCTTATTAGTTGTGAATAAACAATATGTTAAGTGAGGCAACAAGGGGGCTCATAGCAGGACAGTGGTGGTGACATCTCTTGTTTATATACAGCAGGCCCAGGCCACAATCAAGTGCATACAGGAAATAAAAAGTAAATCTACTGGAGTATCGGGGAGAGGAAGGTAGTGTGGACAATTGCATCACTAAAAGTGTACAGCATGGTACAAATATAAGTTGCCCACCCTTCGCCTGACCAAACGTAACAGCTGGTGGGTAAAAGCGATCACATTCGTGACATTCCTCAGGTGGCTCTGCCCACCACATTCTTCCATTTATTATACATCAACAAATAACACTCGTGTGTCAGCCCAACATCTTGCATACCTGTTTTACAGATAGGAAACGTAGAAAGTTCCAAAGCCGTACGAGTACATTTTCTCTGGATACCAGCTGGCAAGTGGTAGAGTCATGACTTTAACTCCAGCATTTTTGGTGTCAGACCTCGAAGCTTAATCAGTTTCTTACAGCAGATATCCCCAAAAATTCTGACCTATGAGCCACATGAGTCAGAATTTAGCAGTGTGCAGTTCTTAAAAATGCAGACCCCCTCCCTCCACCCCCAGAACCGACGGAATCAGAATGTTCAGCAGTACAAGCCCACAAATTTTCATTCATGAATGAGTTACCGACACCTTATTCACCGAGTAAAGGTTAATCCAGGATGATGTCTTCTCAATCCTTACTTATTTAGTTCATTCAAGAACCCTTTCTTTAAATGGGTCCCATTCACAGGTTCCAGGGGGACTATTTGGGGGGACAACCATTCAAACCCATTTGAATTTGCTTCCTGATAACCACCTCTGGGCAGCTGGCTATTAGTTATTCCTACTTGTTAGATCAAAAGTGGCAAGTCACCACACCAGTAAGAGGCAGAGAAAATATTCGGTCATACCCCCCGCTCCTCTTAGGCTCAGAGTTGAGGCTCTCAAACCAAGTCTACTAGGCAAAGGACAACGTCCATTTTATAAAGCAGGGCCCAGGGTAAGCAGGAGCAAATTCATCTGGTGGGGTCTTGGAAAAGACTAGGTAAATACCAAAAGCTATTTATGGAGGTGTTCACATTGAATGAAGAATTAGGAAGATTTCGGACTACCCTTTTTAAATGCCTGCAATTTCTTAAAATTCTATACCAGCGGAATATAAATTGTATATCTGAAAATATTCTTTTTAAAACTGAACTGGTGGAGGCAGGCTCTGTTCCCCGCAGTGTGTGCGGCTCCAATTTTTCTTTCTAACAGAAAGAAAGTCAGCAAGCAGGGGCTCAGAGTGGGCTCAGGCTTGTAATCTTTGCACTCTGAGAGCCAACGGGTGGATGGCTCAAGGTCAGGAGTTTCGAAACCAACTGAGCAAGAGTAAGACCCTGTCTCTACTAAAAACAGAAATTAATTGCAACTAAAATATATAGAAAAAAAAAAAAAAAACAAAATTATCCGGGGCATGGTGGCACGTGCGTATAATCCTAGCTACTCGGGCGAAGCTGAGGCAGCAGGACTGTTGAGCAGGTATTTGAGGTTGCTCGTGAGCTAGGCTGATGCCACGCATTCTAGCCAAGCAACAGAGTGAGACTCTGTATCAAACACAAACAAAACAAAACTAGAATACATCGCAGCAGGAAAGCCATTAAAGCATAACCCCTGAAACCAAAGGAAAGCGAGCCATTTCTTTAGTCCACAAATACAGAGCGCTTGGAGAACACGCAGGTGTATCAACTCCACAGCCCCAAAAGCAAGCGAAAAGCGCCTAGGAAGTGACTTTTTATATTGAACAGCATTAACGATTACAGCTCAAGAAAGGATTAAAGGAAAAGATACTCACATACACAATACACAAGGTGACTCGTATACATACTTCATGAACCTTGGGCCTGGGCTGATCTCATTAGGTGGAGGGAGCTTTGGGAGCCTTTGGTCGAGCAGGAGATATGGTGCCATGGACAGAAAGCGCCAGGAGAGAGACTGTGTCGGGATAACTGGGTAAGAACTCAACCAATTTTTTTTTTTTCTCAGACCCAATTTTTGGCCTGCTGTTGAAAAAGCTCTAACCGCGTTTGTCTACTCTGTGGAAATGTTAATATAGCTGCAAAAGGGTTGTGTGAAGCTGATATCCCCTGCAATTAATCGAATCTGCTAAAGCTGGGATTCAGTCAATAAATGGAAACATGTCCATTCATGAACTATCATCACCAACAAACATCACATAGGAATGGTAAGTGGAAATGTGAGGTCACAAATAATGATCTCACAAATACTTAATCATATAACTTGAGGCCACCTTTGCTTACATTATTATGTTTAATGTAGCTTTTACGATATTTCTCAGATATCTTTGAAATTCTTTTGAGTATGTAAATAATTGTATTCCATGCATTCCTATGGAATACTGGATTGTTAGACCTTTGCCAATTCAAGCGAAGTGTCAAGTTGAAAGTTAAGACGTGGTTCATCTCCTTCACTTATTCAGTAAAAGTGGCGTCTGCGTGGTGTAATTTGTGTGGGAGTATGAGGCTTATGTGTGGGTGCTTCCAAGAGTGCACAGGGATGACAGTGAGTCCCAACACCCATCATCCTGTAGGGGCTCTTGAGGAGGAAGCCCCAGAGTGCAGGACAGCACCACAGCAAGTGAAGCACTAGGGCAGCCAGTACACTGTCAATAATCAAAGAGAAGTCTTTCTGGGGAACCAGGGGAAGGGAATGACAGTCTGCAGTCTAAGGAATCACAGATTCACAGAGCACCGAAGACTTGAGTCTGGAAGGTCAGGGAGAACTTACTACACGGGGAGAAGACAGCAGAGGTATCCTGATAGGACAGAATCGAAATGTGGCCATGTTGCTTTCAAGATACAAGGGCACACGTTATGCTTCAGTACTGCCCCCTGGTAAGTCTAGGCAGATCAACGGGGATGTTGAGACACTGAAAACTTATGAATTGTTCTTAGGTACGTCTGTGAGTGTCGCGCAGAGTTGGTGCAATTAGGGCACAAGAACCACACTTCTCCAGCACAGCGCATGGCCCACAGACTCCCTCTTTGTGAAATCAATCATGAACATCCAGTGCAGTGTGAACTGTCAGCTCAGAAGATGCACCAGAACCCCTGGGGAACTTAAAGCAGAAAATCCACCCCCAGGGCCATCCCAGAGAGATTCTGATATAACCAGCTCTGAGATGTGGTACCACACTGTGCACAGGGTTCTTCGGAGAGCTGCTGACCATAAGCAAAATGAGCATATGACGGAACCATTTTACCAAAGGCACTGATACAGATGAGGACTTAATTTCCACAGCACATTTTTGGTCCAAAAAACTACCAATGTTAATAAAGACCAAAACACTTGCAATTTAAAATTCAATAATGTGAGCTATAATACATTTAAGAAAGATTAGGTGGCGTTGGTGCTCCGGCCTGTCATCCTAGCACTTTGGAGAGGCCGAGGCGGGCGGATTGCTCAAGGTCAGGAGTTCGAAACCAGCACTGAGCGAGACCCGTCTCTACCAAAAATTAGGAAATTAATTAATTACCAATAAAAATATATACAAAAAAATTAGCCGGGCATGGTGTTTCGCATGGCCTGGTTAGTCCCAGCTACTCGGGGAGGCTGAGGCAGGAGGATCGCTGAGCCCCGGAGATTGAGGTTGCTGTGAGCCGGGCTGACGCCACGGCACCTCACTCTAGCCTGGGCAACAAGGTTGAGACTCTGTCTGCAAAAAAAAAAAATAAAATAAATAAATAG